GAGAGGAGAGAAGGGTGAGTGAACGAGGGAACGAGGGAGGAGGGAACGAGGGAACACATCGACCGGACCAAGAAGAAGAGAGAAGGGTGAGTGAATGAGGGAGGGAGGGGAACGAGGGAGGAGGGAACGAGGGAACACATCGACCGAACCAAGAAGAGAGGAGAGAAGGGTGAGTGAATGAGGGAACGAGGGAGGAGGGAGGGAGGGAAGGAGGAGAGAAGGAGGAGAGAAGGAGGGAGGAGACACCACATCGACCGAACCAAAAGAAGAGAGGAGAGAAGGAGAGGAAGAGGGAGGAGAGAAGAGAGGGAGGAGTGAAGGATTGAAGGAGGGGGAGAGAGGGAGGAGAGAAGAGTGAGTGACAGAGGAGAGGAGGGAGGAGAAGGGAGGAGAGAGTGTGGAAGAGGTGGAGATAAAGATGTTGCGATGCTCCAGATTCTTTCCATAATCACAAAACTTTTTCTACTTTTTCTTTCCCTCCTCTGTTCTTCTGCACTTTGCTTTAACGTTTCTTTACTCGTTTCTTTACTCGTTTCTTTACTCGTTTCTTTACTCGTTTCTTTACTCGTTTCTTTACTCGTTCATATTCTGTGTTTCAGATGAGACTGAGTACGAGTACAGCGGAAGTGAAGAGGAGGACGAAGATCCTCCTGAGCAAGAAGGAGAACCCAGGTAAGACCTCGTTTAGACCTGGTTCATTGGTCCCGGTCTTGGTCCTGGTCTTGGTCCTGGTCCTGGTCTTGGTCCTGGTCTTGGTCCTGGTCTTGGTCCCGGTCTTGGTCCTGGTCTTGGTCCCGGTCTTGGTCCTGGTCCTGGTCCTGGTCTTGGTCTTGGTCCGGTCTGGTCCCGGTCCTGGTCTTGGTCTTGGTCCTGGTCTTGGTCCTGGTCTTGGTCCCGGTCTTGGTCCCGGTCTTGGTCCCGGTCTGGTCCCGGTCCCGGTCCCGGTCTTGGTCCCGGTCTTGGTCCCGGTCCTGGTCCCGGTCCTGGTCTTGGTCCTGGTCTTGGTCCCGGTCTTGGTCCTGGTCCCGGTCTTGGTCCCGGTCTTGGTCCCGGTCTGGTCCCGGTCCTGGTCCCGGTCTTGGTCCTGACTGTGGTCCCGTCGCAGCTCCATCGTGAACGTCCCCGGGGAGTCGACGCTGAGGAGGGACTTCATCCGTCTGCAGCAGGAGAACAAGGAAAGATCTGAAGCTCTGAGGAGACAACAGCTCCTCCAGGAACAACAGCTGAGAGAACAAGAGGAGTACAAGAGACAACTGCTCGCCGAGAGGCAGAAGAGGATCGAGCAGCAGAAGGAGCAGCGCAGGAGGCTCGAGGAGGTGAGGAACGAAGGAGGGAAGGGGAGAGGAGAGGAGAGGAGAAGGAGAGGAGAGAGGAGGCTCGAGGAGGTGAGGAACGAAGGAGAGGAGGAGGAGGAGGAGGAGAGAGAAGAGGGATAGAGGAGGAGAGACAAAGAGGAGAGCAGAGGAGGAGGCTCGAGGAGAGGGAGGAGAGAGAAGAGGGATAGAGGGAGGGAGGAGAGACAGAAGAGGATCGAGCAGAGGAGGAGGCTCGAGGAGGTGAGGAACGAAGGAGGGAAGGGGGAGAGGAGAAGGAGAGGAGAGGAGGAGGCTCGAAGAGGTGAGGAGTAGAGGAGGCTTGAGGAGGAGAGGAGAGGAGGAGGCTCGAGGAGGTAGGAGAGGAGGAGATGAAGAGGAGAGGAGGAGGTGAGGAACAGAAGGAGGAGGAGGAGCTCGAGGAGGTGAAGGAGGAGGAGAGAGGAAGGAGAGGAGGAGGAGGGAAGGAAGGAGGAGGAGAGAGGAGGAGAAGGAGGAGGAGAGGAGAAGAGGCGGCTCGAGGAGGGAAGGAGGGAGGTGAGGAAGAGGAGGAGACTTGAGGAGGTGGTAATTGTTTACGACTGTGGCATGAAAAACTCGAGTGAAACTGAAAAACAAATAAATAAAATTCACCTGAACTTTGTAATAAAAAACAGAAAAGCATCAGAAAAACTTCAACAAGTCTTTACATTTTCATGATCTCTTCATGATAATTACATCGTTATTACACATGAACAGAGGAAACACTTTGTTAATACACAAAACTGCTCAGGATCATGAGTTATATTTAATTCCTGGTAATAAAAATAAATAAAATTAAATTAAATTCTCTACAACAGAGTTTCTAGAACAAACAAACTTAAACTTCCAGCTGTTACTTTTGTAGATGTAGATTTAAGATTTAACTCAGGACGAGCAGTTTTATCAACAGGTTTTTTCTCGAATGTTTTTTTTCTCTAACTGATTTCTGCTTCTGTTTCCCATAATGCTTTGTGCCCACTTCCTGGGACTTTCAAAATAAGATGCAAGTAAACAAACCTAAGTGTGGAGAGAGATTATTTTTATTAAATGTCCAGTTTTTAGTATAAAATGATAAAAGATGAATTAGAACAGATTTATTACTAAAAGATTCTGAAGCTTTTTAACGTTTTAGTGAATCAAACTTTTACTGTGGCAGAACCAAACTCCGGCTCTGTTCTTCACTCTGAACGTTTGTGAATCAGAAAAACTGTTTTTCCATCAAACACAAAAATATTGTGGAAGAATCTGACGTGTTTTAAATGTCGCTCATGTTTTATTTGTGGTTTTTTGCTTTGTTTTTGTGTCGCAGCAACAAAGACGCGAACGAGAGATGAGACGACAGCAGGAGAGAGAGCAGAGACGGAGAGAACAGGAGGAGAAAAGACGAGTGGAAGAGATGGACCGAAGGAGGAAAGAAGAAGAAGAGAGGAGGAGGGAGGAGGAGAAGAGGAGGAGCGACCGAGAGCAGGTCTGTACTGAGAGAGAGAGAGAGAGAGGAGAGAGAGAGGAGAGAGAGAGAGCAGGTCTGTACTGAGAGAGAGAGAGAAGGAGAGAGAGGAGAGAGAAAGAGAGAGAGTACGAGAGAGAGAGAGAGAGAGAGAGAGAGAGAGAGAGGAGATGAGGAGAGAGGAGAGAGAGGAGAGAGAGAGAGAAAGAGAGAGAGAGGTCTGTACTGGAAGAGAGAGAGAAGGAGAGAGGGAGGAGGTCTGTACTGAAAAGAGAGAGAGAAGGAGAGAGAGAGGAAGAGAGAGAGCAGGTCTGTACTGGAAGGAGAGAGAGAGAGAAGGAGAGAGAGAGGAGAGAGAGGAGAGAGAGAGAGAGAGATGAGAGAGAGAGCAGGTCTGTACTGAAGAGAGAGAGAGAGAAGAAGAGAGGGAGGAAGAGAGAGAGCAGGTCTGTACTGGAAAGAGAGAGAGAGAGAAGAGAGATGAGGAGAGAGAGCAGGTCTGTACTGAAGAGAGGGAGAGAGGAGGAGGGAAAGAGAGAGTTAGAGGAGAGAGAGGAGAGGAGGAGGAGTAGGAGGAGAGAGGAGGAGTGGAGGAGAGGAGAGAGGAGGGAGGAGGAGTAGAGGAAGAGGAGGAGAGAGAGGAAGGAGGAGGAGAGAGGAGTAGAGGAGGAGGAGATGAGAGGAGGAGAGGAGGAGGAGAGGAGGAGGAGGAGGAGAGGAGGAGGAGGAGGAGGAGGAGGAGGAGGAGGAGTAGAGGAGAGGAGGAGGAGAGAGGAGGAGTAGAGGAGTAGGAGGAGGAGGAGAGGAGGAGTAGGAGGAGAGAGGAGGAGAGAGGAGGAGGAGGAGTGGAGAGGAGAGAGAGGAGGAGGAGGAGGAGGAGGAGGAGAGGAGAGGAGAGGAGGAGGAGAGGAGAGGAGGAGAGAGGAGGAGGAGGAGGAGAGAGGAGGAGGAGGAGGAGGAGAGGAGGAGGAGGAGGAGTAGAGGAGGAGAGGAGGAGTAGATGGAGGAGAGAGGAGAGGAGGAGGAGGATGGAGGAGAGTCTTAGAGGAGTAGAGGAGGAGTAGAGGAGGAGGAGGTAGAGGAGGAGGAGAGAGAGGAGGAGATGGAGGAGAGGAGGAGGAGAGGAGGAGGATGGAGGAGTAGAGGAGGAGTAGAGGAGGAGTAGAGGAGTAGAGGAGGGAGTAGAGGAGGAGGAGAGAGAGGAGGAGTAGGAGATGGAGAGAGGAGGAGGAGGAGGAGGAGGAGGAGTAGTAGAGGAGGAGTAGAGGAGGAGGAGGAGAGGAGTAGATGGAGGAGGAGGAGAGGAGGAGTAGAGGAGGAGTAGATGGAGGAGTAGAGGAGGAGAGTGGAGGAGTGGAGGAGGAGAGGAGGAGGAGGAGGAGGAGAGGAGGAGGAGGAGTAGAGGAGGAGGAGAGAGGAGGAGAGGAGGAGAGAGGAGAGGAGTAGGAGGAGGAGGAGGAGGAGGAGGAGTAGAGGAAGGAGGAGAGGAGGAGGAGAGGAGGAGTAGAGGAGGAGATAGGAGGAGAGAGGAGGAGTAGATGGAGGAGAGAGGAGGAGGAGTGAGGAGAGAGAGGAGTAGATGAGGAGTGGAGAGGAGGAGAGAGGAGGAGTAGAGGAGGAGGAGGAGGAGGAGTGAGGAGTGGAGGAGTAGATGGAGTAGAGGAGGAGGAGGAGGAGTAGAGGAGTAGGAGGAGGAGTAGATGGGAGAGGAGGAGTGAGTAGAGAGGAGGAGTAGAGGAGGAGGAGTAGAGAGAGGAGGAGTAGATGGAGTAGAGGAGGAGTAGATGAGGAGGAGTAGAGGAGGAGTAGAGGAGGAGTAGGAGGAGGAGGAGTAGGAGGAGTAGAGGAGAGGAGTAGAGGAGGAGGAGTAGGAGGAGGAGGAGGAGGTTTGTAGTTGAGGTGTGAGTGTGTGTGTTCAGGAGGCAGGAGTAGAGGAGGAGTAGAGGAGGAGGAGTAGAGAGGAGGAGGAGTAGGAGGAGGAGGTGTTGTAGTTGATGTGTGTGTGTGTGTGTTCAGCAGGAGTAGAGGAGGAGGTGTAGTAGTTGATGTGTGTGTGTGTGTGTTCAGCAGGAGTAGAGGAGGAGAGGTGTAGTAGTTGATGTGTGTGTGTGTGTGTGGTGTGTCAGCAGGAGTAGAGGAGGAGGTGTAGTAGTGATGTGTGTGTGTGTGTGTGTGTTCAGCAGGAGTAGAGGAGTAGAGGAGTAGAGGAGGAGAGAGGAGGAGTTGTAGTTGATGTGTGTGTGTGTGTGTGTTCAGCAGGAGTAGAGTGAGTAGAGAGGAGGAGGAGGAGGTGTAGTGTGTGTGTGTGTGTGTGTGTGTTCAGCAGGAGTTAGAGGAGGAGGTGTAGTAGTTGATGTGTGTGTGTGTGTTCAGCAGGAGTAGAGGAGGAGTAGAGGAGGAGGAGTGAGGAGGTGTTGTAGTTGATGTGTGTGTGTGTGTGTGTGTTCAGCAGGAGTAGAGGAGTGTAGTAGAGTTGATGTGTGTGTGTGTGTGTGTGTGTGTTCAGCAGGAGTAGAGGAGTGTAGTAGTTGAGTGTGTGTGTGTGTGTGTGTGTGTGTGTGTTCAGCAGGAGTAGAGGAGGAGAGGAGTAGAGGAGGAGGTGTTGTAGTTGATGTGTGTGTGTGTGTGTGTGTGTGTGTTCAGCAGGAGTAGAGAGGAGGTGTAGTAGTTGATGTGTGTGTGTGTGTGTGTTCAGCAGGAGTAGAGGAGGAGGTGTTAGTAGTTGATGTGTGTGTGTGTGTGTGTGTTCAGCAGGAGTAGAGGAGGGGTGTTGAGTTGATGTGTTGATGTGTGTGTGTGTGTTCAGCAGGAGTAGAGGAGGAGAGGAGAGGAGTAGGAGGAGAGAGGAGGAGGTGTTGTAGTTGATGTGTGTGTGTGTGTGTGTGTGTTCAGCAGGAGTAGAGGAGGAGAGGTGTTTGTAGTTGATGTGTGTGTGTGTGTGTTCAGCAGGAGTAGAGGAGGGAGGGAGGAGGTGTTGTAGTTGATGTGTGTGTGTGTGTGTGTGTGTGTTCAGCAGGAGTAGAGGAGGAGGTGTAGTAGTTGTGTGTGTGTGTGTGTGTTCAGCAGGAGTAGAGGGAGGAGTGTTAGTAGTGTGTGATGTGTGTGTGTGTGTTCAGCAGGAGTAGAGAGGAGGTGTGTAGTAGTTGATGTGTGTGTGTGTGTGTGTGTGTGTTCAGCAGGAGTAGAGGAGGAGGTGTAGTAGTTGATGTGTGTGTGTGTGTGTGTGTGTTCAGCAGGAGTAGAGGAGGAGGTGTAGTAGTTGAGTGTGTGTGTGTGTGTGTGTGTGTGTGTTCAGCAGGAGTAGAGGAGGAGGTGTAGTAGTTGATGTGTGTGTGTGTGTGTGTGTGTGTGTTCAGCAGGAGTAGAGGAGGAGGTGTAGTTTAGTTGATGTGTGTGTGTGTGTGTGTGTGTGTTCAGCAGGAGTAGAGAGGAGGAGGTGTAGTAGTTGATGTGTGTGTGTGTGTGTGTGTGTGTGTGTGTTCAGCAGGAGTAGAGGAGAGAGAGGAGGTGTTGTAGTAGTTGATGTTGTGTGTGTGTGTGTGTGTGTGTTCAGCAGGAGTAGAGGAGGTGTAGTAGTTTGATGTGTGTGTGTGTGTGTGTTCAGCAGGAGTAGAGGAGGAGGTGTAGTAGTTGATGTGTGTGTGTGTGTGTGTGTGTTCAGCAGGAGTAGAGGAGGAGGTGTAGTAGTTGATGTGTGTGTGTGTGTGTGTGTTCAGCAGGAGTAGAGGAGGTGTAGTAGTTGATGTGTGTGTGTGTGTGTGTGTGTTCAGCAGGAGTAGAGGAGGTGTAGTAGTTGATGTGTGTGTGTGTGTGTGTGTGTGTTCAGCAGGAGTAGAGGAGGAGGTGTAGTAGTTGATGTGTGTGTGTGTGTGTGTGTTCAGCAGGAGTAGAGGAGGAGTAGTAGTTGATGTGTGTGTTGTTGATGTGTGTGTGTGTGTGTGTGTTCAGCAGGAGTAGAGGAGGAGGTGTAGTAGTTGATGTGTGTGTGTGTGTGTGTGTTCAGCAGGAGTAGAGGAGAGGAGGAGTGTGTAGTAGTTGATGTGTGTGTGTGTGTGTGTGTGTGTTCAGCAGGAGTAGAGGAGGAGTGTGTAGTTGATGTGTGTGTGTGTGTGTGTGTGTTCAGCAGGAGTTAGGAGGAGGTGTAGTAGTTGATGTGTGTGTGTGTGTGTGTGTGTGTTCAGCAGGAGTAGAGGAGGTGTAGTAGTTGATGTGTGTGTGTGTGTGTGTGTGTGTTCAGCAGGAGTAGAGGAGGTGTTGTAGTTGATGTGTGTGTGTGTGTGTGTGTGTGTTCAGCAGGAGTAGAGGAGGTGTAGTAGTTGATGTGTGTGTGTGTGTGTGTGTGTGTTCAGCAGGAGTAGAGGAGTGTGTAGTTGATGTGTGATGTGTGTGTGTGTGTGTGTGTGTGTGTTCAGCAGGAGTAGAGGAGGTGTAGTAGTTGATGTGTGTGTGTGTGTGTGTGTGTGGTGTTCAGCAGGAGTAGAGGAGGTGTGTAGTTGATGTGTGTGTGTGTGTGTGTGTGTGTTCAGCAGGAGTACATCCGCCGGCAGCTGGAGGAGGAGCAGCGACACCTCGAAAAACTGCAGGAACAACTTCTGAGAGAACAGGCCATGTTACTGGTACGACCACAGTACTACTACTACATATATACTACATACTACTACTACATATACTACTACTACTACTACTACTACTAATACTACTACTACTACTACTACTACTACTACTACTACTGCTGGTACAATAATACTACATATACTACTACTGCTACTTCAAATACTAGTGCTGCACCAATACTGATACTGGTATTGAATATCGGCTCCGATACTGAGCCATTATCTGGATCAGGTGTTGGTTCTGATATCGATATCTGTTAGTAACATTGTACTTTGTCATGAAATATACAAAAAGTTGATTTACAAATCTTTAACGTCGTCTTTTGTCGACTCAACCTCCATTTAAACTGTATTTATTTTATCTGGAATGTTCCAGAACACTACAGGAATCGGGTCACTGTGTTTTAAGACTTCAGCTCCAAGTATCGATATCGGTATCAGAACTGAAAAAGCTGTCAAATACTACTACTGCAGTCCTACTATTACTGCAAATACGACGACTGCAGAGAGAACAGACTGTTACTGTTATGATACTATTACAACTACTATTACTACTACTGCAAATACTTCTACTGCTAGGGATGGGCGATGTATCGTATGTATGTTTCGATATCATAGATTTTTGTAGAGAACTGTATTGGCTGATATCCGAAAAAAAAAAAGTTGGATTTTATTTATTTTTTTAAACAGATTTTAACTTTAATATAACATATTTTGGACCATTATCTGCTCAAAAACCCTATCGCCCCATCTCTAACTACTACTACTACTACTACTACTACTACTACTACTACTACTACTGTACTTATTACTCATTGACCCTGATTTGAAGTTGGACCGGGCGACTTCGCTGCATGAATCATGTTTAAACCTGTAACTTCAGATTTTATTTTGATTTTCTCCTAAGTGCATATGACAGGTTTTCAGGTTGTTTTTTTTAACATTATTTGGTTTCGTGGGGGTCGATTTTACAATTTTAAAGTTTAAAAGTAAAATCCAAACTGACAGGAAGCGTGTGTGTGAGAGTAAAACAGGATCCTTCTGCTGATGTCATCACAGGAAAACTCCAAACACAGAGACGGTTTAGGCCCAAGGAAAAGGTTCACTGACACTTTAAACCTTCACTCAGCTCTTTTATTTTTATCATCTGCCACGTTTACATGAGAACTTAAATTCCAAATAAAAATCATTTAATTCGGGATAAATATTAATTCCGCTTTCAGTGTTTCCCGCAGCGCTTTATAGTTAGGGCTCCCCCTGCGCTGACTGTGTCCCTCCGAACCACGTGAATCCTCGCAAAACTCAAAACTACGTCACATCCCAGTCCTCACGTTTGTCTTTCACCGGAACTTCATCTGCTTCGCCCCTTCGTTCACTTTTCGCCGGCGTGGTTTCTCCGCCGCCGTCTCCGCTCACCTCCTTGACCAACCACTTTTCTGCAGGAAACACTTAATTCCTGACAAAAACGATTATTCAGAATTAATTCCGAAGTAAGTCGGTGGTTTATTCCAATTTTAAAGCCGATTTAGTTTATTTCTGGATCACGTAAAGGATTTGCGAGCGGGATGCGGGATGCGGGGGGGGGGGTGCTGAGGTGGAGCGGCCGTTGACGTAAAGCGAGATGAGAGAAAAAAACGGTAGCAGCTGAAGTGTCTATTTTCTTCTTTTTGACGTAAATGCGTTGGTTATCAGTTACTGTTCTTTTCAGACTATAAGGCGCAAATAAAACCCTTTAATTTTCTTGTAAATGGAGAGTCTCCTTATAATTCTGGTCGTGTTATTGACCTCGAGCAGATTTTCTGCGACACACGGCGTCAAAAATCTGTCAGAATGTTTTAGTACGACTTTGGTAACGTACAAAGAGTAAAGGGCGAAGTTTAGTTCTGCGTCGACTCTTCGCACACTGTCGCCGCCGCCGTCGTCTTCGTCACAGAGCGAACACTCGTGATCAGCGCCGGGCGAGTTACGCCGCGATCTGCCGCCTCAGGATCAGCCTCAAGGGTCGTTTGTTTCGCTTAATGCGCCTTAAAATCTAATGAAAAAAATTTCATTTAAAATTTAATGTGTTTTTGATGTAAAACTCAATTCAGAATTATTATTTTAGAATTACTTATGAAAGATATAGGAAGAGATTACAAAATATATAAATGTATATTTGATTTGACGGCCTTAAAAATGTAAATACACACGTGCAAACACTGCAGAAACTCTGTACTACACCCCCCCATTTTCATTTTTTAATGTTTTGTTTATTATTATTATTATTGTTGTTTTTTTATTGTTAATATTTATTTAAAAATAATAATAATAACAATAATAATTCAATAATAATTTAATATAATAATAATAATAATAATAATAATAATAATAATAATATATATATATTTTTGTATGCGTGTTTAGTTAAGTCTGTCTTGTTGTCAATGTCTTATCCAATCCCTCAACTTGACAAATTAGAAATAATATTAAAATGTAAACTCGACGAAGAATATTTTAATTCCAAACTGTTTAATTCAGAACGATTAAAAACCATCATGTAAACGTGGCCCGTCCAATCAGAGCTCGTTTTGTCGCTTGTTGTCAGGTAAAAGTTCTAGATTTTTCTCTGTGTTTGTCTCGTCTGTGGCTGTGAAGGAACATGATGAAAATGAACAAAACCTGGCAAGATTTTTGCAGTAAAAACAAAGAGTAAAAGTTGATATTTGAACCTGTCCTGTGCACTTTGGGATGTGGTGGTTTTGGTTTTGGTTTTGGTTTTGTATCTTTGGTCTTTGGTTGTATCGTTGGCGTCAGGAGTTCAAATGGCGCGAGCTGGAGGAGCAGCGAAAAGCCGAGCGACTCCACAAACGACTCCAACAAGAACAGAGCTACCTCCTGTCCCTGCAGCACGGGCCCAAAACCGGGGCCAAAACCGGGTCCAGACCCGGAGCCCAAGACCCCAAACCCGCCCTGGTCCAGACCCTGCCCCCGTCCCCGGTCCTCAGCTCCGCCGCCAAAAACAAGGACTCCAACCAGGACTTAAACCAGATTTCTACCCTCCCCCAAGCCCACGTAATAGACCCCCCCGAGTCTTTAGACCCCCCGCAAGTCCAGGTCAACCCCGAGTCCAAGTCCGGGTCTAAACCTGGGACCAAATCCTCGCTGAACCCGTCCTGCACCCCCCTCCCCCAGGCCCACGTGATCGAGACAGACCCGGCCGCCCCCGTAGACCCCGCGGACCCGGCTCTGGTCCAGACCGAGACCGGATCCCCCGGTACCCCCCCTCCCCCCCGGCCCGAGAGCCCCGCCCCCCCTCAGGCTGAAGACGCTGTCACTCATCCTCCTCAGCCAATCAGAGAGGTGAACGCCGGCTCTGGTCCCGCCTCCTGCTGCCTGCTCTTTCCTGGTCGTTTTCTGGCTTTGACTTTGCTTTTGTTCTTCACGGCGTTTAGAGGGAAAACTATCACCCAAAAATACAAAAATAATGAACAAAACATACTTTCTTTTACAAATAAAAATAAATTTCACCTAAATTATAAAAAACACTAAATTATCAAACCACAAGGAGCAGGAAACGGCCTTTTATTTTGCCTGGAATGTTCCAAAATAAGACGTTTAATTATGTCACTTAAATCAAAAATATTTCTCTTGATTCTTTGCAGTGACGTCAAGCTGGGGGTGTTCTACGTGTATGTCTATGGTGGAATGTTCAGCGCTGACAAAACAGTTAAAAGATCTTAAATCCGGTGTACACTGCAATTTTTGGCCTTTTTTTGAGCCGATTTTTCCCTCGTGCATCTGTTTTTGGGATTAAGTTTTGTCTTAATCGTGCGTCGTGATTCGTGTTGTAAACATGGGGGAACGAGAAGCGATTAATCCCTCACGACCAGCTCCCCATCGGCAGTTGTAGGTCGCAGGATTCGCCTCTCGTGAGGGTTTCGCTCTGTTTAAGTCGTTCCACGAGCTGTGAACTTTTAAACTCTGTGATTTGGTCGAACAGTTTGAGCTGAGGCTGAGTGAAACCATCGAAAATATCGCACAGTGTAATTCAGAAATCCCTTGGTGAGCTGCTTGGAAGGAGCTCATGACTGTCGTGTTGTTTAGAGCGACGTGTTTAACACTTCAGATCCTGTCTCCTGTTGGAGTTCAGATCAGTCACGTCTTTATGGTCAGACTGTGTTAACACAAAACTCAGATTAAGTCTAAAGCTCCGTTCAGACGGCGGCGACGCGGCGTTAAAGCCTCCACTTTACATGTAAAGTCTATACGGATGCGTTTTGCGGCGAGAATCTGGCGCTGATGCGGTGCATCTTGAGCGTTCAGGTGTCAGCTTCAGAAGCTGAAAATGCTGAACTTTTGGCATCGCCCGAGTTATTACCTGGAAGAAGAAAGAGAAAGAACAACAAACATGAACATAAATATAAACGGCCTCGACCGTCGAGTCGATCTCCTCCACTCATGTGTTCATGTCATAAAAACACTAAAGTCTCTCAGTCTGATCCGTCCACACACGTGTTTCCAGGGCAACAGACGTCCTGGACGTGCGTCGAGTATTTTTCTCTCGTTGGTCCACGGCCTCCAAGTCATGTGTCGAGGGCGTCTGAACTCAAACGCCGAGGAGTGTTTTTGACGCTCTGGTCTGAACAGATCTTCAGCCTCCAGTTGGTGTCACACCTCCAGAGTTTTGACGACATCAACTGCAAAGTATCAGCAGAAACCTCAAATTTTATATTTCAATCATGAAATAATCCACAGGTTCAGAATGATTTGAGTTAGAATTATTAGAACTGTTGCCATAGTGATTAATAATTTAAAACAAAATCTTACATCTCAACTCAAAATGTTTCAAAACTGGAAGCAGATTTGAAAATGTATTTGTATTTGTAATATAACTTTGTATTTACATATTTTAGATTAGGCGCGGTTTCTTTTAGTGACGCACTTTTAGCCACGCCCCCTGGTCATACAGGACTCATAGAACCATAGTTACAGACTTAACTGTAGTCGGGTCGTTTTAGAGAAGGCGGGGCACACTCGTCGCTGTGGGAGGGCATCTGGCGTTCTTCCGTGGCGTGTTCAACCCTCTGCTGTCTCTGCTCTGAGCCGTGTTTGTCTGACGCTCTGAGGATGTGCGAGCGGCCATGTTGTGTGCGCCGCGTGCATGTGGACGGCGCGGCGGCGGCCATGTCGTGATGTGAGGTGCATGTGGCCGCCGGCGCCGCACTAACAAACCAAACCAAACGTGTTTTTACGCAGCTCTCACTGTTTTTAATCCCAGACTTTTCAGGTTGTGTTTGCTCGTCTGGCTCTGTGTCACAGCATGTTTCAGACTAAACCGTAAAACGTCTGAATAATGTGGATTTAAACGGGACGCAGGACGCACAGGTGAGCGCAGGAGGACGGGAGAGTGAACGAGAGGATCAGCGCTTCCTGTACGATTCCCCGCCCACTTTTACTCCAAATAAACACGTGCACCGATAGGATTCTGGTTTAGTTTGTCCACATGTTCCAGTTTTGAGCCTGTGTCTCTGTCCCGGCAGATTTATACAAAACCACTGATTTGTCTCAGTTTTACACAAGAAATGTCCCAGTGTCTCTATTTTTGACCAATCTGATCCCTGCCAACAGTAAAGAGACATAAACTGACATTTGTTATGTTTTTTTTGTTTTTTTGGAAATTCTGAACTCCATATAAGAGGATTTTCTGGACTCTTTGGGCCCAAAACACATCAACATATTTTAAACTTGTCCTGTAGTTACTTTAAAATGATAAATAAGTTTGAAACGGGAGTAAAACTCTAATTCACAGAGGCCAAAATTAAAAACTGGGACCAAGTCGTGGGTCAAACTAAATATTTATTGAAACATTTCAACAACATCTGGATGTTTTCTTATTAAAATGTTTAATAATAGTTTTGATTAAACATTGAATCCAGAACAAACTGAATATAAAATAACATTTTAAATAAATCATGTCTCTATAGTCGATCTGTGTGCGGCGGCAGCTCTGATACACATTTGATTTGATCTCATCGGCCAAATATAATTGTATCATGGGCCGAATTTGGCCCCCGGGCCTGAGTTTGACATGTCTGGTTTAAAGGAAATAAATTCAGTCTCTGCTCTGGTATCGGTTCATATCGAGGATCAGCAGACACTTAAAGCGCTGGTATCGACATCGGTATCGAAACAGAAAAGTCGGTATCGGTGCATAGTGTCAAAGGACCAAACCGTTGAGTTAAATTCTCTCAGTGGTTTTGTTTTTTGACTCTTTTGGACTCAGAGTCTGGAATAAATCACAGGACAAACTTTAAGCAGCTCCAGGTCCATTCTTCACTCCTCCTCCTCCACCTCGTGCACCTGCGACTCCTCCTCCTCCTCCGCTCGGACCTAACCTCATGTGTCCTCCTCCTCCTCTTCCTCCTCTCCTCCTCCTCCTCCTCTTCCTCCTTCCTCTTCCTCCTCTCCTCCTCTCCTCCTCTTCCTCCTCCTCCTCTTCCTCTTCCTCTTCCTCTCTCAGGCGGACGAGCGTTACCGTAAGAACATTCAAGGTTCTCCTCAGACGTCCGCTCAGACCAAACCTTCAGTTCCTCCTCGTTCCTCTGAGCCTTTCTCAAACGGGCCAGCAGAGGGCGCCATGCACAGACCCATGGAGCCACAGGTAACGCCTCCCCCTCCCACCTTACTCCCCCAAACTCTCCCCCATAACCCCCAAAAACCCTGGACGACCTGCGTGAAGTCGCCCCGTCAAACACAAACCTGAACAAACTCTGTCTGTCGTTTTAGTTTTGGAGATTTTAACGATTCTTTTACAGATCAAACTGAAGCTTCAAAATGTCGTTTGTGTTTCGTTTGTGCCGCAAAAAGTTTGGTTTGTGTGATTCTAGTTCTTAAAATATTCAAAATATTTGTCCAGCCTCTCAAAATGTGAAAAAGCATCCAAAAAAACAGAAAATTAAACCAAACATTTGTATTTAGTTTGTGTCGTTTTGTGTGTGACAGTTTTCATTTGTGCGAGTTTATTTCTAAAATGATTCATTATTATTTTCGCTTTAACAAAACTCCACAAAACAAGTAAAGAGAAACGACCCGAGTCTGTGGAAAAGTCTGTGTTATTATAGAAAATATGAATCAAAAGCGACTTACTAAAGATGATCCAGACTTTTCCACAACCCCAATTTGACCTTTAAAAGATTCATCGGTAACACTTTATAATAACTACACCTTATTTAGCCTTAATAAAGCATGAACAAGGACTTAATTAATAATGAGTCATGCTTAGTAACTACTTAATTAGCACCTTAATTAGCATTAGTTACTCATAATTATTTCATACTTAAATACAATGGTTGTTCATGAGTAATTAAGTACAAATTTGAGCATTTATTAATGATTAGTAAACTATGAGGTGCAATGATAATTCAGGCAGCTGTTATCTGTTAGTTACATTGTTTTGAGAGCTTTTCTAAAGTTAAGAAATAATTATGAGTAACTATTTACAGCACAGGAGAATCAAGTGCAAGTTAATGCTAATTAAGGTAGTAATTAAGTAGTTACTAAGCATGACTCATTATTAATTAAGTCTTTGTTCATGCTTTATTAAGGCTAAATAAGGCATAGTTATTATAAAGTGTTACCGAATCATCAATGTCTCCAAAACTAAAACGGCACAAACCAAACTTTTAGCAGCACAAACGACTGACAGAGTTTTAGTTTTAGTTTTAGTTTTAGTTTTAGTTTTAGTTTTAGTTTAGGTTTGTGTTTGTCGGGTTTTGACTTCGCGCTGGTCTCTGTTCTCTCTCGTTAAACTACATCGCTCTGTTATTTTCAGACAGTTTACAGCAGTATGTAAGTTTGATCATGTCCTGCATGTGTCTCAGTCTGAGTGAGTTGTACAGTTGTAGGGAGTATTATCTGTCCCTCTGTATCAGCGGTGGGCAGTTATTTTTTTCCCTGGGGCCACATGAGAAACAGAAAAGATTGTGGAGACAAAATGTTGAACTCAATTCTGCAAAATATATTTTGTATTTCTTTATAAATCAGTAAATTTCGTTGTTTTGTCGAGCTGCTCAGATTGAGAAGAGTTTATGTTCTGACTCATGAAAAAGTGAAGCTGCCGAACCAAAAAAAAGTGATTTTAAAAACACGTCTAAAATAAAATACTGCAGTTTTAGTCCAGACATGAGGTACAATTATAAAATAAGTTTATTTTGTGATTCAAATGTGCTTAAATGAATGTGGCCCCAGACTTGGACAAGGTCTGGGTTATAGTCTGGTGCAGTGGTTGTACAGTTGTAGGGAGTATTATCTGGTGAGCAGGAGTGTCCATGATGCAGTTTGTCCAGTGTCCTCGTGTCTCCAGCTCAGACGATCACGTGACTAACTTTACAGTTTTTTAGTAAAGGCAGAGTGTTTGTGTTTGTGCTGTTCACATTTTGACCAAAAGAAACTCTCAAAACAAATAATTTAAGATTTTAAAAGTTCAGATTGTGTTGTTTTAGTGGAATCGTACTAAACGTGCTCCATGTTTTCCTCTAGTCTCCTCGTCCGTGTTCGTGTTCTTCTTTCTAGAAGTGTCCGTGTTGTTTGTGTGTTTGTGCATGTGTCACCTCACCTGTTGACTCCGCCCCTGTGTGGTCACGCCCCGCCCCCTCAGGTGCAGTGGTCTCACCTGGCCGCTCTGAAAAGCAGTAGCGGCGGGAGCGCCCCCTGCCCTCCTCCGCCGGTAGCGCGCTCTCAGTCCTTCAGCGAGGCCAATGCCGTGTCCAACTTTGCGCAGCTGCACCTGCGAAACAACCAGGAGGCCACGCCCTCTCCCCCGCCCCCCTTGCACCTGCCCCCGGCCCCGCCCACTGACGAGGCCCCGCCCAAGGTGAGTCCTCCCCCTCCTCCCCCAATCAGGAGAGAGGAAACCAGAGGAATCGCCGTGGTAACGCAACACAGAACAATAACACAGAGACTCGATCTGTGCACAAGAAATCAAACCTTTAAAGCAGTTTTATTTCAATTTTAATTCTAATGTGAATAAAAATCCTTGAATCAGTGACATTTCTGACCTGAAACTGGCTCCCATCAAACACAAACCTACACAAAAACTGTCAATCATTTGTGCTTCATTTGTGCTGCTTTAGTTTTGGAGATATTCATGATTCTTTTGTTGGTCACATTAGGGTCCACAGCCCCAAGAAGATTCAAAATGCTCTGAAACATATTATTATATAAAATAGAATTGAAAGTGAGTTACTATAAACTGATCCAGACTTTTCCACAGCCTGACGGGTACATCCCTTATTCCAATAGGCCCCCACCCCGACATGCCCACATTCCCACAACTTACTCATAGTTTGGAGCGTCACCTTTTTGGTCTTGGATACGTCGTATGGACCTGTACCTCTAAACCAGGGCTAAAACCAGGACTAAACGGAACTAAACTGGAGCTAAAATCAGGACTAAAACCAGGACTAAACAAGGTCCAAACCAGAAGTAAAACCAGGACTAAACCAGAACTAAATCCAGTACTAAACCAGGACTAAAACCATTTCTAAACCAGGATTTAACCAGGATTAAAACATGCTGCACAGACTGCGTCTCTTACGCCGCCAGTTCATGAAAGTATCATTCTGAAAAGAGCACCACCGCAACTTAATAATCACCTCGTGTCAGAACGGCAGAATGTTGGGGGAAAAAAAGTGCCACCGCTCCGACCAAGGGGAAAAAAAATGTCAAAGCGCAGGGACGTTTGATTAAAAAAATGGAAATGCTGCCGGCAGCATGTAAACAAACTAAATACAATTTTCTGCCGTTTTGAGCCCGTTTCACAAAATAAAACTGTTGATATTTTAAGAACCAGAATCACACAAACCAAACTTTTTGCAGCACAAACGACAGACAGTTTTTGTGTTTGATGTGGGCGACTTCACGCACGTCCTGTACATTTCTGGTCCTGTTTTTATTTTATTTTCTATCAGAAATCAGTTACTCTTCCTACAGTCACAAGATGGCTGCCACAGTTACCACGACAACAGTTCCCATGACAACAGTGTTCAACCATGATTCCTCTGGTTTTGTTTACACCTGTTTGCTCCGCCCCCTCCTCACCTGTGCCGCCCGCTCCATCGCGCATGCTCCTGTGCTTCAGTCTGGAATGTTCTTTTTTTTTTTCTTTTGGTTTATTTTTAGTTTTTCAGTATCTGTACTTTTGTTCTTCTGGTGCCTTCACGTTTTACAATTTAAGGTTTAAATATATTTATGGAAAAGATTCATTTTTAAGGCAATGTCGGATTAAAAAAATAAAATAAAAATCTACCAAATTTTCTCATTGTTTGGAAAGAATTATTCATTTGTTTTTCAAAATAAAACCAAAAATAAGAAAAAAATAAAATAAAATTCTTCATTATTTGTCTCCAAAACCAAAATGAAAATACATGATTAAAATAAAATAACAATTTGTTTTTTCAGTTTATGATTTTGTGTTTAAATGAAAAATGGAAAAAACGGATAACGGACTAAACCGGGACTGAACCAGGTCCGGGACCAGACCGGAATCAGACCCGGACTGAGACTGGGACCAGAACTGAGACTATATCTGAGACCAGGAACAGGACCAGGACTGAGACAAGGACTGAGACCTGGACCAGATCGGGACTGAGGCCGGGACTGAGACCGGGACCAGACCAGGACTGAAAACGGTTTAGTCCTGGTTCAGTCCTGGTTTAGTCCTTTATCAGTTTTGTCCATTTTTCATTTAAACACAAAATCAAAAACTGAAAAAACAAATCTTTATTATTTGTCTCCAAAGCCAAAATTAAAAAAAACAGATAAAGAAAATAGTTGTTTTTCCGTTTTCTTATTTTTTATTTTATTTTGAAAAACAAATGACACACGGATTAATCAGAAATGTGCTAAAATGTACCAAATATTGCAAGAAAATTGACTTTAAAATGGTCCAAAAGTGCAGAAATCTCCTTTTATAACCTTATTTGATAGATATTATGGTAAAATAATTAGATTTTTGTGTGAATTGGCTGTAAACGGTGAACGCATCGTCTTCTGTTTCGTTCTGTTGACGGTGAAGTAAGTGACCTGCCCAATCTGCGTCGCTAGCATACAAGCTAACTAAAGCTAACCCAAGCTAAACACGATTCACTTACTCCACCTGGAAAACCTGCTCCTACTGCTGCTGCCGCCAAAACTGCTGCTGATACTTGTTCTGCTTTCACTTCTACTGCTTCTACTACTACTACAAATACTTTTACTACAAATATTTTTAACACAAATACTTCTGCTGTTGTTCTCTGTCGATGTTTTGCTCTTGTGGGATGTTTGTGGGCGACACGTGCTCAGAACTCAAGTATTTTACCTGAAAACTAATATAACTGTTACTACTACTACTACTACTACTACTATTACTACTACTTGCTGCTGCTGCTGCTGCTGCTGCTGCTGCTGGTTCTGGTTCTGGTTCTGGTTCTGGTTCTTGTGGAGTGGCCCGTGCGTTTCCTCTGAGTCGTTGCAGTTCCGTCTCCTTCCTGACGGTGGCGTGTTTTTCCTCAGGTTCCGGTCAGGACCACGTCTCGGTCTCCGGTTCTGTCCCGAAGAGAGTCGCCCCTCCCCCAGGCCCAGGCCGCCAGGAACCCCCCCAGGTAATAAATACGATTACTATTACTACTACTTTTAGTACCAGTGTACTTCTGTTAGTACTGTGGTGTGGAGCTGCGCCCCCCGTGGGACAGAGCGCAGTACTACAGTTGTGTACAGTTGTGTATTTTTCAGCGGCGTGGACCCTCGTCCGCTCTGGGATCGGGTGCAGTACTACAGTTGTGTATATTTGTATATATTTACGTGTATATTTGTGTATTTTTCAGCGGCGTGGACCCTCGTCCGCTCTGGGATCGGTGCAGTACTACAGTTGTGTATATTTGTATATATTTACGTGTATATTTGTGTATTTTTCAGCGGCGTGGACCCTCGTCCGCTCTGGGATCGGGTGCAGTACTACAGTTGTGTATATTTGTATATATTTACGTGTATATTTGTGTATTTTTCAGCGGCGTGGACCCTCGTCCGCTCTGGGATCGGTGCAGTACTACAGTTGTGTATATTTGTATATATTTACGTGTATATTTGTGTATTTTTCAGCGGCGTGGACCCTCGTCCGCTCTGGGATCGGGTGCAGTACTACAGTTGTGTATATTTGTATATATTTACGTGTATATTTGTGTATTTTTCAGCGGCGTGGACCCTCGTCCGCTCTGGGATCGGGTGGAGAAGCTTCAGTCTCGTCCGAGCAGCGGGAGCTCGTCTGGATCCAACTCCAGCGCCCAACAACCTCCAGAACGATTCAGAGCGCGTTGTGAGTCTCCTGGTAATACACACGTGTACTGCTACTGCAAATACTGCTACTGCAATACTACTACTGCAAATACTACTGCAAATACTACTACTACTACTGCAAATACTACTGCTACTGCAAAATACTACTGCTACTGCAAATACTACGCTACTACTACTGCTACTACTGCAAATACTACTGCAAATACTGCTACTGCTACTGCAAATACTACTGCTACTGCAAATACTACTACTACTGCAAATACTACTGCAAATACTACTGCTACTGCAAATACT